TCTCCACGATCTCTTAATCTCTCCTGAATCCATAGCATGTCTTGTCTGAAAAGTTTTCACGTCGGGCTCTTGTGTCGTGTGATAGGGAGAACGCAAGGCCGGATGTACCGGAAAACGAGCAGACGTATGACGTGCCCATTCTTTGTGTGTTTCAGTTCCCTGTGAAATGGCTGTGTTTAGGAAGGAATACCTGAACTGCTGGTACTCCATGAAGTCGTACTACATCGCCAAAACGCTAGCCGACCTCCCATTCCAGGTATCATGGATATGATAAAAAGAAAAAGAAAGTGAAACTAGTTATTCAAGATCGTCCGCTCAGTCGGTTCTCTTCATGGCTGGTATTGCCTTCACGGCTGGGTAAATTATTTATGAAATCATCATTTAATCTTATCCTAATTTTTATGTTTCCCTTGTGTAATTTGCTAGCACCATTCGAATTGCCATGTAATACGAACGACTGCACTTCACAGCTCTTGACATGACGCTGTCTGTTTCCGTTTTCAGATAGTGTTTCCGTTGATATATGACGTCATCGTCTACTACATGACGTCACAGCCGAACGAGCTGGACCGGTTCCTGATGTTCTGTCTGATGACTGTGCTGACGTCACTGGTGGCTCAGAGCGTCGGCCTGGTCATAGGTGCCTGCTGCGACATCCAGGTACCCAGCCCTACGGGGGTGTTCGTTTGGAGTCTTTGACTGAGCTGAAATTATAGCACCTTCCCTCTTGTCAACTCCCAACCTGACAACCCGTATCTCATTCCTTCGCTTCTTTCATGGAAGCAACGTAATTCGTAGAGTGATTAAATTCGATCCAATGTGCTGCGATATATGAATATTTGCGAATCCAATGAACTTTTTTTTTTCTCTTTACATATATGGAGGGTCTGTTTCTGCTGCTGCTCTCCCCTTCCCCGCCCCTCTGCACGGCACCTTTTCCACCATCCGTCAGTTGCTCAACTCGCCCGGACGTCAATCAGAATCAGAATCAGAATCAGAATATATTTCATAACGAATCCATCGAATATGGTTTTTCATCGTCACACGTCAAAGGTTGAAAACATACGAGGTAAAATACATTCAGGCCAATACAATACACCGCGATACTTGATCAGGTCAGCCATACAGTTCTCTGAGTAGGTAGCGTCTCAGGGTTGATTTGAAGTGGCGAGTGTTTGTGTCGAATGGCAGCTGGTTGTACTGCTGGACAGCACCGTAGCTGAGACGCCTGCGACCCGACTCAGAGTGTATCCTCGGTAGCGTGCGCTGAGAGGAGCCTCTCGTCTGATACACGTGGTCTCTACTGGGGCCGATGCACATAGCGATGCATTCGGGACTACCGGTCGTGATGGCAGCATGGGTGAGACACAGTCGGTGATACATGACAAGGCCACGCGCGTCTAACCAGTTCAGGTCACGGAGAACGTCCGCTACATGGTCGTGTTTACGCCGGCCGCTAACCACTCTGGCACCAAAGTTTCAGAATCAGTTTCGCATTTAGGCAAAATGCCACCTCCTTCGACCTCAATTGAAGGTAACATGCCCAGCGACCGACGCGGTTCTCACCTTGAGGAATTTCTCCGGACTCCGGAAGTGGCAGTAGGGCTGCGAGCAGTGCATGTCGATTACCTTCAATTGAAGTTTCAGAATCAACCTTACCCTGGCCGGCTGCAGCCACCCCAAACGCAGAGGTCATCGACCTCTGCGGGTCTGGCCTTGGCCGCCGGCCAATCCGCTCTCGCCCGTGCCCCACTGCCCCCGGGGAGGGGGGAGAGGGGGTCGAACCGCACGCGAATACCGGGGTCGCGTTGGTTTTGATCTAGTACGCGGAAAGGCTGCTCGTTTGGGCGTAGTGCATTCAGCCATGTTGCTTTGATGGTTTCGGTTGTGATGTTTTCTCGAATCTTCTGAATCGTAAGTTTTATGTTGTTTGTTATCCAAACAAATTAAACGATAAAATTCCATGAAATAGCAATAATGTTGTCTCAGAAAATCCAATTGATTCCAAGTCTCCTGTTCAAAAGTGACGCCCGTGTATCTTTCTCTGTTCGTTTCAGCTGGCGGTGTTCCTGGGACCGGTGACGATGATCCCCATCATCCTCTTCTCCGGCTTCTTCCTCACGCTGAACGCCATCCCCGTCTACCTATCGTGGATCTCGTACCTCTCCTACGCGCGCTACAGCTTCGAGGGCCTCATGCTGGCCGTCTACGGCAACGGCCGGGGCGACATGCACTGCTCGCAGCCCTACTGCCACTTCCGGAGTCCGGAGAAATTCCTCAAAGTGAGAACCGCGTCGGTCGCTGGGCATGTTACCTTCAACTGAGGTCGACAGAGGTGGCATTTTGCCCAGTTTGACTTCGGTTTAGTGTGGCCAGAATACGAATTAAGATTTTTCCGGTTGCTTTTAACGACATTAAAGTATGCCGTTAATTGTAGCATAATAACTCGGTCGGCTTCAAGACCACGGTAGCCTGATTCTGAACTTCGTTTGTCTTGCCTTCAGCTTACCGCCTTCAGTCTCTGAAATACATAGCTGCTCCCAGTCTCGTGCATCTGACTCCCCCCCCCCCCTCCGCCCTGCAGGAGATGGACATGCTGGACTCGTCCTACTGGGTGGATGTCGCCGTGCTGGCCGGTATGACGGTCGGACTGCGACTGCTGGGCTACTTCGTCCTTCGCTGGAAGCTGAGAATGGAACGCTGAGGCGGCTCCTGCGAGCTTCACCGTGATGTACCGTGAGGGTGAAACTATGGCAAGTCAGTACGGCATCATATTGGTCGGCTGGATCTTTGGTTCTTGTCTTGGCTTCAGTTGGGGGGTGAAGAGGTAAGGTTTTCGGTTATTACTGGTGTCAGAAGTGGATTTAGTTGTTTTCTGTGCGTGTTTGTACGCAGCTGGATGTCTCACTGCCGAGAAGAGAGGACGTGGGCAGGGGTGGGGTAGGGCTCTGGAGGCTGGGACCACTTATTACATGGCTACGGAGTAGCCTTACTCATAATAGGGAATGCGGTTAGAACGATATGCTGGCTTTATTGGATGCATGCGGAGCTTCGGACCGTGAACTGCAAGGATACCTATCTATTTTGTGCTGCCTTAGCGAGAAGAACTTATGACCAATGTTAGCAGAACATATGACAAAGTTGAGCATGAATATATCGTAGTTTAGGAATTCATGCAACGAAGAACGTGAAGTGAGAAAACAAACTGTGAATGTTGGTGCTGTATACCGGCAAGATGTGCTCAACGGCTGGCCTTGCCTATGGCGTCATGTGCTGTGAAGCGTGACGGTGTTCGCCGGGTAGGTGTGGCTTCACTTGGCAGCATTGATCCGCTTGCCGTTACCAGATGGGAGTTTGTGCCATATATCTTGCGATGTGACTATACCTTGTGGAATTAGATATTTTTATATGGTTGTCCTTTCTCGTACCAGTTGTGGTGTTGCGATATTTGTGAACGTGTTATTATACTGTGCGTCGATTACAACGTAATCTAGCGGCATGATCGGGAGTCGTTATCAGAGCGTGCAAATGTTGGGGTGGTTCATGTAATTTCTTCTGATAGGATTCCGTGGTCAACTCAAGGAATATGTGTGCTTACGGCTTATCAACTTTTGAAACGTGTCCCTTGCAGAATGCGGTGGAATTCCCGAATTTAATCAGCTCACTTTACTCACTCATTCACTCTCTGGTTGTCAACTTAGCAACTGTTTTCATTAAAAATGCACGTTTAATCAAATCGGCAAATTAAATCGAAACACTTTTGCTCACTTTGAAGTCTACTAGTTCTGTGTCCACCTGTACCTCGTCTTCTTATTTCGTATTCGTACCCTGTCTATCTGTTTCATTCACTCTCGGTTTTCCGCGGCAAAGAGTTACTGGGAGTGCCGCTGGCGCCACCTGTGCTCTGTTCCACGACCGCTGACCGAGGCGGCGGCACTGTCCGTCTCGAGGGTGGTTGTGTCGAACTGTGTCAACAACACATTCGACTTGGATAGGTAGCGACTTGCCACACTGCTCTATTGAAAACTTGTACGGTTGTTCGTTGCCATTGCGGTTGCCTATTGCCACCAAACTAGGCCGCACCGCCACCGGCCCACATCGATTAGTTTTACATACCTACCACTGCTGTGATATCGCCACTGTACCAGTAGTCCAGTAGTCTAGCCGCTGTGCCGGCGATTTCGGTGCTCTAGCCTAAAGATAGTTCAATGTGGCAACTGTTGACGCAAGCCGCCCCTCGTTAGGGGCCTGCGGATCGCGCACTGCGTGCGCTTGTTTGGATCCCGTTCACGTTACGGCGATTGTTGATAAATATCAGCTGGTACAACATTGAGTCCCGGAGTTGTTCTCGGCCCGCCAGTCAGCGCCCTATGTCATTTCCTGTTCGTGCTACGTTGTTGCTGAAAATAATTCCTCGTCAGTCGTGTCGTCGTTGTTGAAGAGAAGGATAATATGCTCATATATTATAAGCTAGACTGGCGATTACTGTGTATTTTGAAAGTCTCAATCAGTACGAATACGGGGCTCAGTCGTGCTTCAAAACTGAACCATTATATAAGATGCCCTCAACTTCGTATAAAGAAACAATGTTTTGATAATATACAATGGTTGATGCCCTATATGTTTGTTATCATCGTCAACAAGTTAAGGCATCGTGACTTTAGATGCCTTGGCGACACAACCCATCTCTCGGCGTCGGCGATCTGATCTCGTCGCCACCTTAGCGTCGTTTACCTGCAGATAACTGCCAGAAGAGTGAGATAATAATGTGTATGTACTATGGGGTCATTGTTTTTAGAAGTGCGGACGGCTTCTACGACTTCGAATGACTGTGCGATCTCTGAAGGGCGTCACGAAGAAAAAATCGATAACCTCGGCACTCAACTGTCTGTAAACCCTGTCACCGGCCGGTAGAACCTGAGGTTATCTCATGGCACCAACCAAAGAGCTCCAAAGCTATTCTGCAAACTACAGCGCCCTCCGCATGAAAAAGACAAGTATGTAACGGTAGGCGTACATTGTACAACGCCCGGAGGTATATTTATTAACAGATTGGCAGTTGAGTGGTATATGCCTCAGTTCCATGCACATGTTGGTCCCTTTGAGAGCAATTCAAGACATTGTGATCTCGATTCGCTTGTTATGACTCGTGATATGTAAAATTAACCGAATACGTTTAGTTTGTTCAGCCCTCGACGACCCTTGCTGAGTCAGTCTCACCCGTTTTGCCCAACAGGCTAGTGCCTAACTTCGTCAGTCACTCGTCGTCACTCAGTCACTCGTCAGTCACTCGTCAGTCGTCGGTCGTCACTCGTCTATATGCTGTGTTAGAATTCCCATTGTCACAACTGTAAAAGTTGTTCTGGCAGCAAATGAGCTCATGAATATTGATCTGAGAACAAATTGAAACCATTTTTCGTTACTGGTGCTTTCTGATGGAAATGAAATAAAAATATAGGTCAGTTTACCTCGCACTTGCCACAAGACCAGTGCGAGTTAAAGGTAGTGTGCCACCTTTGAAAGATTTCCCGTTTTATTTTTCCTAGGATAAGAAGCTTCTGTTTTTACCTAATATCGCAAAAAAAATCAAAAATGGGCCTGGAATAGTGCCTTTTTCGCCTAAAAGTTTATCGGTTTTTAGATATGTATAACAACTGTAGTGGGCTCACCTGCAAACAGGCGTCGGGCAACAATCGCGAATGCGGCGCACTTGTGACAATAAGCAAAGGTCATTATAGTGTTACGACCATACGACGTACGGGAATGAGTTATCAGCTGTCTAATCGTAGACAACACAATGTCGAGCCTTAAACTGTAAGCCTGTATTGGTATTGTTTCTTAAATTTGGCTGTCGAACATTAATTTGTGGTTTGAAATATGATTTTATGTAAAATAATTGATATGAAACAGCCGTCTCTTAAGTTATGACCCCATTACACCACACGCAAGTGGCAGAAATGACAATGATCAGCTGACGCATTTTGCTTGGCCGAAGTCAGAGCGCGCGGCCCGACGCACCACGCGTATTTGGAAATTCCGACCTCGACGAGCATCAGAAGCCACCTAACAGGCGTGTTCGAAACCGCAGGAGATGATGATGAACGGGTTTATCGAAACTTGATTGGATGAGCCTATCGGTAATAGCGATTTTAGTGTGTGCATTTATTGTTCATAGTGGTGTGAAATGTGGTTGGGGTACGACCGACAACCCGTCGGGGCGAATTTCGCACTGGGGTACTCAAAATTTGAAGAATTTAAGACGTTTCCATAAGTTTTGAAGGTATGGATAAGTTCTAAAAATCCGGTTCTCCTTATCCGGGTCATTAACTCCATATGGTCCAAGAAAGCTGGCACACTACCTTTAAGTAACCACTCCGACACCAGCGCCGCCGGACGACTGGCGACACGTCCCAGCTATCGACCCTAACTGGGTGACAGCTCTCTCACTGGACTTTGCGGCACAGCAGCAGGCCGTCTCCACAGTTGAGCAGACTGGCGTGCACCCGGCTATCGGAGGCCGCCTTCTCGTTCAGCTGGTGGATGGCGCGTGAGTTGGCGTCCATCTCTGCCTCCGGCTTGAGCACCCCGCCGTGGTAGAGGGCGTTGTCGACGGCGATGATGCCCCCGACACGCAGCAGGCGCAGGCACGCCTCGTAGTAGGCCGGATAGCTCTGCTTGTCGGCGTCAATGAAGGCGAAGTCGAATGTGCCGGACTCGCCAGCGGCTATCAACGCCTGTAAGATGGGACGAAGAGGTGGGGGAGGGTGAGCTTATTTATTTATAATTTAAGATGAAACCGTAGAATATTTTGGGAAAAGGACTGACTGAAACCGTGCTTCTATAAGAGGAGTATTATTGAGCGAGTGATTAAAAGTTTCAGGCTGCTCTCAATTTATAAAGGTTATTTCGTTAGGATTTTTCATGAAAAAAAAAACAAAGACCTGCAACGGACACCTATTGCCCACACCGAGCGCACCTCGAGCGTCTCCAGAGCGGGTGCCAGTCGGACGTCGATCTTGTCGGCCACCCCGGCGTCGGCCCAGACCTGGTAGGCGTTGTACTTCTTCAGCCACTCGTCGGTGACGTCGCAGGCGATCACCTTGCCGTCGGCGGGCAGCGCCAGTGCGGCCGACAGCGCGCTGCAGGGGGGATGGCGACAGTGAAACGCACGTGAGCGTCAGACACAGACGGGCGTTCAAATAGAGGAGCGCCGTCAATGGCTGGTCAATGGCATGTTTGTCTCCAAGGGAAATGTAAACGTCCTTGTCATGCACTCAACAGTCAACCAACTGGTAGCTTGTGGGGAGTCCTATACGGTCATAGACAGTCGTATACCCAAAAGTAACACGGTCATCCCTCTAACACCCGTCACAGACAGTTCAAGGTCACGCGCTACGTCGGCAAGGCCATGCTCGCTTGTACAGTCACCAGCAGTTGCTACCCATCACCCCCGGACGGCGGGGGAGCAAGCTACCACCGCCCCTGCGAGACTAGCGCCGCCATGCGCCAAGAAGTGGAAACACCACGTGACTGAGGCCACGTGAGGGCAGGGTCACGTGATGGAGGGGCGGAGCATAGTAGCTTTTGCACCCGACACTAACTGAAATGCGGCGCTGTGATTGGGGGCCTTAGCATGAATGAAGCCCCGGCGCCAGAATCAGCCGTTCGCCTTATATGGAAAGTGAGCCTTGGCGTTTCACTGTTCTGCATTGGTTTGAGAGCCACGGCACCATTCGAATTGTGAGCCCCTGTGAACGGGTCACCGCCCGAGGCACTGAGGCGACGGCTGTGCCGGGCAAAGTCTAGCCTGGTGGGAGAGGTGGGCCAGGGAAAGTGCGATCGAGCAGCCACTGGGACGTGGATTGGTATTATCCAACCGCGACAAACGATGTCAGCAGCCTCTTCTCGTGTCATGCTAGACAGACAACGTGGGCAGTGCCCAATCAAAAGCTCCTAAACGATCCAGTTAAGAAGTTGGCGAGGTAGCCAGACCAAATAAAAAGTTTTTAATTCGATTTTGGTTGACAAATGACATACAAGCCCGCTGTGATGGACCACAAAAGGAGCTGAACAGCTCATACAACTTCTAAAAAGCTCAACGGTTTAAAAATTCAAAAGTTAAATGTTAAAATTCAGCCTGCATGTTTAAACTCTGGTCCGGCGCTGGCAGGAAGCTTATATTGCCACTTGCAATTCCACTACGTTGTAATATAACCAATAGTTCTGTGAGAGCAGCAACTGAAAGCCCGTTGAGGGGGGGGGGTGGCGCGAAATGGCCCCCTCTCTCCTTTTCAGTCGATATCTCCTAAAGTATAGCAAATGTCGCCACCAAACTTTCAAGACCCCTCCGGGCATCATTTTTACACCTTGTGACCAAATTTTTCCAGAGCTCCTATGAAAGGTTAGTCACAAATGACGTCAGAGGGATGTCATGTTCTGTCATTTTTGACCCAATAAAAGGTTTAGCAGGAAGAGCTGTCACGCTTACAGTTTTGAAGATAACGAAAAAATATTCGAAATCAAAAAGATGTAAAATAAACAGCGCTACCAAACTGCTAACTCTTATTTCCAAACAAAAATTGATTTTGACCATCAAAACTATAGAAATAAATACCCCGAAAATACCTACAACTTTCAAAATTAAAACTGAAATACCTATATGCTATAGAACTATCTGCTCTAGATATGCCAAACTTAAACTCGTTAGCTCCATTTTTAGCAAAGTTATGGCAAAAAAAAACTACTCAAAATTTATTACGTAAAATTTTTCAAATTCAATTTTTAGCCGTCACAGAACACACAGAGCAAGCCAAAGACCACCATGGGATTTTCTGTGATGAGCTGCATCGAATAGATACCCCTTTTATGCAAAATATCAACTTTCAAATTTGACCTTCTTTGACCTGACCTTGACCTGACCTCCACCAGAATGTAATCTAAAATGGCCCCAATCGCCGTCTAGCCCACACCATTGAATTCTAAATGTAAAATTGGCCATAAAACATGTATCACACGACCCTAGCATAGTTGGGTTCATTTTGTAACCCTTAGTGACCTGACCTCTGTGAACTGACCTGGCATCAATGACCTCTTTAGGCAACATATGTATTAGACAACCAGCGCTCCATCGATGTTTTTCGATTACATGCCTTTTATTCGATGTGTTAACTGACTGTAACGCATTCCTTAGACTAAATCGGTGAAAAATGCGACCTTTGACCTGACTTGTGACGTCATGGGTTGCAACTAGATCAAAAAAACCTGGTAGCAAGGCAAGGTAGCCCCTGGTGGGGCTATCGAACGCTCTTTGAATGTTCAAAATCGGTCGGTAACTTTCCGAGATCTCAGGTGGAAGGCGAAACGGCTGCACCACCCGATCAGGTGGTAGGGTCTGCCAATAGCCCAAGGGGCGCGGATTATTTATTCACTCATACAGTGTCATTTATTTTGAGAACATCTTTCCATGACATGGTCCCCTCGTAATAGAACGAGATGAGGAGACTAGAGTGTTTTCACGCCTCCTTATGCACGGCTCTAAGTGTCATTGAGCTATCAACTGTCAGCGGTTTTCCTACAATGAAGTTCTTAGTTCTTACTGAATCCAATTTTATTTCAAACGATTGTCACTGTGCTAGGTTTTTTTCTTATACGTTTATGAAAAAGCGCTGAAGAAGTCTTTGATAGATGAAACCGGTCCGCTTATTCTTTTTCTAATTGTTTTTTGAATATATTCGTAGACTACTGGCTCTTTACTACTGAAATTTGAGAATGTTTGGTATTACTTTGACCCGAACGATGTGCAGCTGAATTTTCCCTGTTAAATGATTATGGACAGCTCGCGAAATTAACTTCAACCTAAACTACCGACAAGCAGAAGAAAATCCGCTACAAGCCTACCCCAATCCTCTCACCTTATTCAACCGTTGAAACGTTAAAGGCATTTGTTCAGTCCGAGTCGCTATGTCGACCACCCGCGCCGTGCTGGGGGGGGGGGCGTTTTGCACCCTTCCCCCTCAGGTTTTTCGCGAATATCTAAAAAAAAAAAACGGCGACGGTCAGGTCACCGTAACGTCAAGTGACCTTACCTCAGAAAAAAATAGAAAGCTCACTGTAGCTACACCGACTGAGCGGACTTTAAAACTTTCAGTAATTGCTTAGGGTAATAGTGTGTATAAAATGGATACCTCGGATTTTGTATGTCTGTGACCTAAGGTCACGTCAATTTTGCGACTGCTCCATTAGGTATAAGTCAATGGGAGAAAATTGAAATGCGCCTCTTTTGGACGAATTTCGTTCTACACCCACTCTAGCATCGGTCCATGGACCATGACACACTGAATCGGAAAATTGCACCTGTGACCCCAGTGTGTGCCCCTGAGGTCATTTTAGGACATAAAAGGTCTTCAGCAGTTTTTTACTTTTGACAGAGACGTGCTAGAGCGGTGAAAACACCGTTGATCCGAGGTCAAATTTGAGGTCAATCAGAGCGGTGCCCTCTGGGGGCTAAACCGTTGATCTGAGGTCAAATTTGAGGACATGTTGGCGAAACAGCGTTAAAAGAGCTATCGAATGCGCCTTTCTGCGGCGCTGTAGCTCTATTGGTTCCCGAGTTAGCCGTCGGGTGTTCAAAATCGTTGAAATCAACAAAATTTGACCTTAGATGAATCCTGGTGACCTGACCTTTGCCCTGACCTTAAAATGACCGAGTGTTTTCCTCCTTAATTTTGACGCTCTTTCGATTGCCACTTACCGCGTGTCGCTACGTGGCCCAGGAGCCGAGTTAGACGGAGGGACGTGAAACACCCCCCCCCCCCCCCCCAGCACTCGACGTAAAGTTCATGCCACCAACACGGCGCGGGTTAATTATTATGCTAGCTAGCTCCTGTTGTAAGCTGTGGAGTCGTGGACCTGATCTTGAATGAACTGGGCCTAACATTTTCATAGCAAACGTAAAAAAATGTTTAATAGGTTGTGCAAAAAATAACATCTCTTTTATGAAACATTTGCGAAACCTTCAACATCATCCCCAGACCCCATTAGTGCCGAGCTCCCAACGACGACCATGAAAGCGTCCCCATCCCGTCATAGGCGGCGGAACGGGAAGGGCACCCCGTTCCCCGTACCCCCCTTTGATTTTTGCATTTCAACATTAGCCCTATGAGCGTTGCATGAAAATAATAGGACCAAAAGTTGGCAGTGCCCCCCCCCCCCCCCCCCCTACTTGAAGGTGTTCCGTCGCTACTGCATCCCGTCAACGTGGGTTTATCATAAGGATGCTAAGATTTAATTTCCAATCCGAAGCTGTAATGATGAAAAGCAAATTTACGTTTCACATGTGAAACAAGCTGACACAACTAAATATTTCCTCTCTCGCTCCCTCTGACTGATTTACCCATTGCCCTCTATCTCATTTTACCCTCTCTGGTTTTCCTCTTCTGTCTCTCTTTTCTCTCCTCCCGTCCTTATCCCTTCCCTCAAGTCTTTCTTAGCTCTCTCTCTCTCTCTCTCTCTCTCTCTCTCTCTCTCTCTCTCTCTCTCTCTCTCTCTCTCTCTCTCTCTCTCTCTCTCTCTCTCTCTCTCTCTCTCTCTCTCTCTCTCTCTCTCTCTCTCTCTCTCTCGCTCGCCATCTCTCTCTTGCTCTCTCTCTCGCTTTCGCTCTCTCTCGCTCTCCCTCTCGCTCGCCATCTCTCTCTTGCTCTCTCTCTCGCTTTCGCTCTCTCTCGCTCTCCCTCTCTCCCTCCATCTCTCTCTCTCTTTCTCTCTCTCTCTCTCCCTCTCTCTCTCTCTCTCGCTCTCTCTCGCCATCTCTCTCTCTTTCTCTCTCTCGCTCTCTCTCTCTTTCGCTCTCCCTCTCTCCCTCTATCTCTCTCTCTCTCTCTCCCTCTCTCTTTCTCTCTCCCTCTCTCTCCCTCTCTCTCCTCTCTTTCTCTCTCTCTCTCTCTCCCTCTCTCTTTCCTCACAATATTCTCGACTGTCACAGCGCTGTAGGGCTTGTTTCCAGACACGTCCAGGCGCTCTCCACTGCGCAGGCCCCAGCCCACACGGCCCAACCGCTCAAACACCCTCCGGCGGATGACCTCTGACCTCGGCGACCTGACCCCAGCCGACCGATCGCGTCCCCCTCCACGCCTCCGCCCCGCTTCCCCCACTACAGCTGCGTAGTAATTGTAGCGTGTGCAAAGGTCACGTGACATTATTTACTTCTGCGGCTTGTTCGGCTGACAAGAGATGGCACTAGTGGTCTGTGGATCAGAGGCGGGGCTAGGTTCTACGACTTCTTGGGGCACACTTTAGGGCAGAAAAGAGGTTTTTTGGCTCTCCATCCCAAAATGCTTCGAATATACAAAAACAAGTTAGATATTCGAGACTCGGAGGACCAAACAGATCGTTTGACGTATCTTGCGCGACTGAGAATTGATCAGTCTTCAAACTACTGAACAAAAACGAGGTGATTAGTAGCAAGTGCTGGTTGACTGTACGCGGATGGGCGTACTCGTGTGTTACGATATGCATCGAAAGACAAAGTTTACTGTCCCGGCTACACCTTCTGACCGGTCTACATTTAGCCACATTCAGCTAATACCGCTGTAAGTGCACTGGATGCCTGCAGCCCCCACTGAATCCTCTATCCATCCATATGGCCTCTGGGTGTCTTCTGTCCACATGTTACACTCGCACACCGCTGCACCCCGAACACCTACCTGTAACCAGTGAATACACCGATATCGAGTGTTTTCTTGGCCCCCAGCGTGCCCAGCAGCAGCCGCAGGAAGTTGAGCTCGTCCGAGGCGCCTAGCATCCTGCCCATGGGGTCCTGCAGGCTGTCGGCTCGCAGACGGGCCATGTGCGGGTTCAGTGGCGTCATGTGCTCGAACAGGTACTTTTGCAGCGCTCCCGCCGTCGCGTCGTGCTCCTTGCTGATCTGAGACATGGCTGTGGCGGCTGGAGGGCGGATTAACACACGGAGAGACGGTAGTCGCTAGTGGGATGGGTCGGAGCGCGGTGTCGGCACGCTCCCACACGCCACAGTGAGGGAGGCGGGCCGGCGCGGCCGGCGGTCGGGGAGCGTTGCTGGCCGGAGGGGCTGCTCTGCGCAGGCGCACTAGCGTCCTCATGACGTCACACGCAGCCAACGAACAGCGGTCGGCCCTGATCGAAGTTTTGATAAGAGATGTGGCTAGTCACCGTCTGGTCATCACAGGGCGATTGAGATGTCCCGTACACGCCGTGTTAGTTATTGACATTTGTCCGGCCGTCACTATCCTCAGACGAAAATCAATAAACCCGTCCATTAGGATGACAATAAAGGATTGATCTGACAACACTGCACTATAAGAGAACGTTTCATCACCAAAGTTTCCAAAATTGTTCATAATTAATCCACATAAGCAACAGAAATATCAAAGGTGTTTCTGCTCACCCATACGTTTACAGAAGTTATATTATTGTCGCTAGATGGCACCAGTGGTATACGCCTGAAGTTATACTGTGCCGCACGGCATATACGTATTGCGGGCGCTCGCTAAATCGAGCGTCAGAAAGTATTCAAAAGACTGAAAGTAACGAGGAAATTGTAACATGCATGCATACGAGCGTAATACAAGCAAAACCCTGTCAGTAACCACACTATCTACAGCCACTACCGTCGAAGTATCGATCACTTTATATTTTAGGTTGCTTTATGAAACGATGGCCATTTACGACCTTACTCCTGCAGTCGTGGACTTGGATGACAATAGTCGTGTTGGCTCGTCAAAAAGGTGTCATTATGTAACGTCCAACTCTGCACAGTGCACATGGCCCAGCTATAACCTAACAGAAACGTGTACGACTGTACGCTGTGCAGTCCAGACAGCAACAAACGAGCATGTGTGCGTCGCGTCCGAATGACTCAGCAAGGTCAAACCTCTCGGTCCCCTCAGCGGCCAGTGGCGGACTCAGGACAATAAAGTTGGGGGTTAATCGCACATCTCTACTAGGCTTTGAAAATACGATAATTCATTGATCCTGTGATGACGACTCATCATAGATTACCTACCTTCAATGATGATTTATAGAATGAAGACTGATAATTCATTCAACGCGACCCACCGTCAACCTCTATCTGCCATCTAGTCATTTCTGGTCGTATACTAGTCCCTAAAAACACTCCATAAAGTAGCATACATATATTTCACTTCCTCCCAATATAGATGTGTCCCATAGTGCCCCACCAAGGCCAGGCACCAATGGACGCGGAGCCCCATGCGCGCGCGCCGGCCCGATCAAAACAAATGGAATAACGGCCGCGCCACCACACCACACTCCCACTCTTCTGCCGAGCACCTCACACACGCGCTACGTAACACATATTGCACAGCTTGACGAACACACAGGGAGCTGATACCGCCCTAGGGACCGGGACCTTTGGACGTATGTATGGCTGGATCCCTCCCGGCGCATAGCGAACGGCGCAGGGAACGGGCGGCGGAGCAGCCTGCTGGGAAAGCGTGGGCCACAGCTAGTGTCACTACCGGCCCTGACTAGTGTCCAACAGCTGCCCCGCGAAAGGTAGGACCAAACTTCTAGCAAGACACTGGGGTTGGTTGGGCACCGAGCGAGTTAAACCACACGGTAGTCACCCCGAATCACTCATGGATCACCAGATTTCGCCATTTCCGCGATCATAGATAATGCATAGCTTTCAGCGGTCCTTCAGCTATCACAACCAATAGCCTGAGGCAACGGCGGCACGTAACAGCCAAGGCGCGGGCCTTCGATGGAGCGGGGTTACCAGGGAATGACAGCGAAGAACACACGCCAGAAGTGCGATCCTCCATCGGCGCACAGGACTGCGGTTGTGACCATCGGTACATTTTTGACTGGATAATACTCAATGGAATCAAGGCAACATGGTACGAAACCTACGTGCATAACTAATTCGTAAGCTACTCACTGGTTTGGAGGTGGTTTAAGGGCTGCTAAGGGGAAGCTAGAATATGGTCCCATAAAACGAGAAAAAACTGTGATGATAACTAGATGAGCGGGGAAAGGCGGAGTCACAAAAATCACGATGGTTAAAAGCATTGCCACCGAGGCTAATTGCAACGCAAAAATCAGCTAACGAGTGCATCGGAATCAAGACAACATCATAAGGCAATTCGGCAAACTGTGGCTACCCAGGCTAGATAATATCGGAAATATAGCACGGTTAAATATCTGCACCAACATGTCATGGGATAACGAATTTAAAACGCGGCACGACACAAACTGTCAGTAACTTGGTGCGACTGCTGGCTCATCCTGCGGAGTTTCATGTCCGTAAACACACACAAATAAGAACACAAGGGCTTAATCCCCGGGGCCGTCTTTTGGTTCCTGTCTTTAGCACGCATCACACACGCCAACCGACGCACGCCTCAAGACGTTCAACCCAACAGGGAATGAGTGTACCGTTTTAGTACACTTTTGTTCAAAACTGCAAAGGCTGCTGTTCAACGCACTTTTCCGTCGTCAGTGGTTACTTACCGACGCTAGGTAGGTCGGCAACTTTTCACTTAACAATTGTCCTGTTTAGCCTACCTAGAACGTACCCATGGGAACATTTTGCTGGGATGTAACTAGGAATACGAGAATAGATTTTCCAGCTGCAGAAAAAGCCGTACAAACTTCTCACCTAAAGCCAACGGGAGGTCCGGCGTTCCGTGACTTTCAATCACAGACTAGGCTCAGCGTCAAAGGACCAACCACGGTAGAGCAGACCCGGGCAGAGGTCAACCACGAGACAGTCGGAAATCAGGAGCACCAATCGGGGCTGTCTGACCCCGACCAGCGACCAATCACAGCGCGCGTCACCGGAGCGGACCAATCACGGTGTAGCTAATCACAGCGGCGGACAGCGAGCAGCCAATCACAGGGCGGGAGGCTCCGGCGCTGACCAATCAGGAGGCGGCGGCTGGTTTGTCGGGCGACCAGAGCTGCTCGGCGAACGGCCGATCGGGCACAAACTGCAGTGTCTTCAGGTGCTCCTGGTAGAACAGCAGCTCGGACGTCACCAGACTGAAAACGGGACGCAAAGTCTTGTTAGAGACGCGTGCCTGCATCAACAAAGTTCACAGACTGAATATAATGTGAGCTTGACCGAGCAGTTCCAGCAATGTGATGCACCTGTCAATGTCTAAACAATTAAGCATCAATTGAGATGTAATGCAGGTCTCACTGCTCACTGACGCATGACCAACAGCAGGTCTCTGATGCCTTCAAGGACCCTACGTACCTCTAACAACCTCTACAATAAGCTCTGCAATCTGCATCCTTACCAACAAAAGAAACTACTTTCCATCACCACCCGTACCTTCCCTCCCACCGCCCACCAACTCACCCATGCTGCGGGCCGCCGTCACTCTTAATATTCAGCTTCACCACGCGTCTGCGCAGACTCTCCACGAAGGCGGCGTTCATCCGTGTGAAGAGCCGGTGGCTGTGCTCTGCAGTCAGCACCCCGGATGTGGCCTCGTGCAGTTTACTGACCGCTCGGCACACTGCCCTGAAATCGGTCAGCACCGGGTCAGACGAGAGGGGACGGATGGATGGTGAAGCGTTGCTCCGCCATAGTCAATCGTAATTGTGTAGAAAATGACGCGTTGATTTATGATCCCCAGTCAGCTTCTAGCAAAATAGTAATAGAATCACACGATATAAACTTTCAAACGATATTCAAGATTCTTTCGGTTACTAAGTTAAGATCTGTGAGGCGGTGATCCAACTAGACGACAATAAAAACTACAAAACACGACATTCAAATACCTATTCAACATTCAACCAATGCAGGAGGCAGTCCCAGTAAAAGAATATTCAGTCCAATGTCGTCCCACCCACCTGAACTGCTGGCTGGGCACGGGCGGTCGCGCCTCCCACTTGTTGAGCTGGGCGTCACAGGCGCTGCTGATGATGAGCACCAGTTTGGAGTCAATCTCTGACAGGTGCGCGCGGTAGTCGAGCTCCACCTGATCCAGGTGCCGCAGCTGACTGCGACTCCGGTCCGGTACCAGCGCCTGGGGACGGGCACAGGGCGGGGGGGGGGTAGACGGAGGCACAACACACAAATAAAGCAGATGACTGCGGCTCCGGCCCGGCACCAGCGCCTGAGAGCGGGTACAGGCGGGCGTTGGTTTGCTGAGCATTGAATGGAATGGCATGCATACTGGATAGGCATCATGACCAAGCGTTGGAAAACAGAGTTACGAAAATATTGTTCAGAGGAACGGGCAGTGCTACAAGAGACACAAACACGGCCGATAATGGCAGCCATCCAGGCTTCAAGTAAATACGTAGGATATTTTACAAGCTAGGATACATCAGCTAGGATACATACGATACATCTATAGGATATTGCATCTAAAGGACAATCATATAATATTAGGATACATCAGCTAGGATACATCTAGGATTACATTTGGGATTGTATTCACATCGTGCAATCGGTCCATGAACACATGGCTATTATGATTGACATGTCATAAAAACGGAACATCGGGATTCAGTTGCACAACTAACACACACATTCACGCACACACACTCAGCTCACATCACATTTGTACATCGCGCTACTGTACATCTAGGTTACGCGCTACGGATTACATCTAGGATACGCATAACACCTGCGTCAGTCGGTCCCGTAGCTCAGTTGGTTAGAGCGTTGGACTCCGCGTGGTGAGAGCACGCGTTCCCGGTTATGACAGTACGGGGCCCAGTTTCACCAAGCTCTGTTTGGGGTAGTTTCGGCGAAACTACCCAAACCAGTTTCACCAAATGGGGTAGGTTCTGATTGGCCATTCCAAACTACCCATGAAGTAGTTCTTATTTACCCCAAAAATTGCCATG